ACTGGCCAACACATAGACACACGTTGAAGGAAACGGAAAGGAAGAGTGGAGAAGAGAGGCGGGGGAGGAGGGAGAGAGAGGAGAAGAGAATGAACAAACATCTGTAGCCATAGGTTCCCATATTTTTTATCTACACAGAAACACAGAAGCAGGGCTTCCCAGGTGGTGCCAGTGGTAAAGAACCCGTCTACCAATGCAGGAGCCGCAGGAGACACGGGTTCAATTTCTGGGTCGGGAAGATCCCCTGGAGGAGGAAATGGCAACCCACTCTAGTGTTCTTGTCTGGGAAATCCAAGAAATCCAACACGGACAGAGGAGCCTGGCAGGCTACAGTTCATCAGGCTGAAAAGAGCAGGACATGACTGAGCAACTGAGCACACACGCAAACATATGCGCATGTATGTATACACAGTCATGTCTCTTCATCCACAGTTTACTTACAGATTACCTACCATATGAAAAGCTCTCTACCTGATCTTGGAGATAGAAAAAAAACCATGATTGGGTTCCTCTCTTCAGATAGCAAACATAATTACCAACCCAGCCTCCTGTTTGTTCGACAAGATAGAAATGCCAGCTCTTCTCAAGTTAGCGCCTCCTTTGTGGACAGACATCTCAAGTGATTCAACACAGTTCTGGCTCAAAACGTCCAATCAACATAGTGCAGTAAGTCTTATTCCCAGTTCCCTGGCCCTTAATCCTTAACATATCATTAGGTAGTTAATCAATGCTTGCTGACTGGTTTATTACTTGGCAAAACCATTAACTGGCATCCACTTGGTAACATAACAATAATAAAATAATGGCAGCTGCTAATTGATAGCTGATCAGGTATCAGACACTCTGCCAAGCACTTTAAATACATTTTCACATTTAACTCCATTAGAATTTGTTATTATACCAGTTTTAAGGATGATATAACTGAGACTTTGAGTTTTAAGCAACTTGCCTGATGCCGCACGGCTACAAAATGATTTAAACTGAAAGTTCTGTCCGTAGCCGTGAACACCTCACTACCTCTGAAAGAGAAAGGCCTTATCTGGATATAACTTGAGCCAATGAAATTTTGATTCACAGCTAATTATACTAAAAAAATTAGATGAATAGAAACAGCTAAGTCAATCAAAAGGATAAACAATCAGGTAAACAAAATATATTTAGAAAAAGCAAGCCCATAAGCTATGTATGTATGTGTCTATGTATTCTTAAGAGTATTTACCATTTTAGACTTTAGATATCTTTTCTGTCCGCACCCATTACCAGGACTTGACTATATGTTCAGTAGTTTTAACAACTGAAAAGGATATTGCTTTGAACGATGTCTCTGCTTTGTCAGCAGAGTGATGGTGCTCTACACGCACATATCTATAATAAAGTTTAACTTATAGACCAGCACAGTAAGAGAGTACCAATAATGACCAATAATGAAATAGGACAACTGTAATGATACACTGTAATAAAGTTATATGAAGGTGGTCTCTATCTATCAAAATATCTTACTGTACCATATTCACCACTCTTCTTGTGAAGATATGAGACATTAAAATGCCTACATGATGAGATAGCGTTAAGCTACTACTGACCTGCTGATAATGCCTCAGAAGGAGGATCTCACCAGCTTTGGGTGATTCTGGGCCATCAAGCCATGATGATGTGGCTGGTTGGATGTTAGCAGCAGATTGAGATAAGTGGGCATCCCAGGTGGAACAAAGTGGAACAGAGGAAGATTTCACCATGTTACTCAGAACAATGTGCAACTTAAAACTTATGAATTATTTCTAGAATTTTCCAATTAATCTTTCTGCACCACAATCGGTCCAAAATTGGTAATTTCAGTAATCCACTGTGGCAGGCAACTGAAATTGTGGACAGGGAAACCACTAAGGGAGGCTGGTCTACTGTACAACCACTAACTCCAGAAACTGTCAACTGAAAAAAATGTACAACATAAGAGTTGAGCTTTACATGGGGCAAAAGGAGGGCTGCAGCCTGGGAGACAGCACCTCAGGGAGCTCTGGGCAACTGCTCCAAAGAGATAGGGGGCAAAGTCAATATATATGTGAGTCTGGTGGTGAATACAGAGTTCATGCAAACATTTATCTTCGCAAAGGCTTTCTGCTAGTCACAAGGAGCTGATGTCAAGATAAAAGGATTTAGGGCTTTTCTAGATATGAGCAGGTGCAAGGATTGGGTTCATAAAATCAGCTACTGAAAATATCTAACTCTCTGGAGACCCGTTCTGCCAGTCTTCCCAGAGCACAGGGTGCCTCATCCCTGATCTCTACCTTGAAGTCCCTTCAGGAGGTGCTGAAGGTCGGAGGCCAGAGCAGCACATGATTTAATCCTTACAGAGGAAGAGGGCAAGGGCTCACAACAGGTGACAATTCGTAGGTGACAAAAACTCTGTTCTAAGGTAAACGTTCTATGTATTTACTTATTTATTTAATTTTGGCTGTGCCACAGGGCATAGTTCTTCAACCAGGGGAAGCCCCTTGCAGGGGAAGAACAAAGTCTTAACCACTGGACCACCAGGGAAGTCTCGAATGTTCCATTCATATGAATACACGATAATGCATATATACCTGGAACGTCACAAATATAACAGTGAAGAAACATTTATTCTAAGCAGAATAAGGTAAACTTTACACTTTCAATGTATCAAAAATTTCTCTACTATTTCCTAAATGCAAATAACTAAATATATAACATGTTAATATAACTTTTTGGCTAAATTTTAATTATGAAAAACTTGGAAAATTAAGCCTTATCTCCTAAGCAACTACACCCTGAAAACAGATACATTAAATATTTGTGAACATTAGACATAATGAAAACAAAGTATGACATAAGAGCTAAATTACAACTGTCAAGATTGTAGGCCTAAATTTAGCAACTTACTGTGTGGATCACAATAAACTGTGGAAAATTCTGAAAGAGATGGGAATACCAGACCACCTGACCTGCCTCTTGAGAAACCTGTATGCAGGTCAGGAAGCAACAGTTAGAAGTGGACATGGAACAACACACTGGTTCCAAATAGGAAAAGGAGTGCATCAAGGCTGTATATTGTCACCCTGCTTATTTAACTTATATGCATAGTACATCATGAGAAACGCTGGGCTGGATGAAGCACAAGCTTGGTGTTCACTGGAAGGACTGATGTTGCAGCTGAAACTCCAATAGTTTGGCCACCTAATGCCAAGAGCTGACTCATTTGAAAAGACCCTGATGCTTGAAAAGATTGAGGGCAGAAGGAGAAGAGGAAGACAGAGGATAAGATGGTTGGATGGCATCACTGACTCAGTGGACATGAGTTTGAGTAAATTCCGGGAGTTGTGATGGACAGGGAGGCCTGGCATGCTGCAGTTCATAGGGTCACAAAGAGTTGGACATGACTGAGCAACTGAACTGAACTGAAGCACATTTAATCATAAACACCAGGTTTACTTAAATTTTATTTTCTTGCTTTTAACAATTACTAGAAAGGTAAAAATACATATACAGAAATGACAGAAGAAAAGAAGAGCAAAGCATGAAAGTTTCTTCTAGAGGTTTATGCAGAATTTTATGACACCCTACCCCCTTGATAGTTCCTTTATCACAGATGTTAGTTAGTAACACTTATGAAGAATAGGATTCGTCTGGCCCAGTCTATCCTGCCCTATCCTATTATCCAAATACTAAGAGTCTTTTCTCTATTTGACTTCTATCACACTGGCAGGCAAATCCTTTTAAGAAGTTGGTAAAGACACAGAGATAGTTGGATGGCATCACTGACTCAATGGGCATGAGTTTGAGTAAACTCTAGGAGTTGGTGAAGGACAGGGAGGCCTGGCATGCTGCAGTCCATGGGGTCACAAAGAGTCGGACATGATTGAGTGACTGAACTGAACTGAAAGACACAGAACACAAATTTAAATATTCTATCTTCTATTCTTAGTTGATGCTTTGCCACAAAAGTAGTGACTTGCTGAAAGTCCCTAGTATTCTCCCCAATGACTGATATATAGCGTGCATGCGTGTTAAGTTGCTTCAGTTGTGTCCGACTCTGCACCCCTGCATGAGGAGAAGGGGGTGACAGAGGATGAGGGGGTTGGATGGCATCACCAACTCAATGGACATGAATTTGAGCAACTCCAGGAGTTGGTGATGGGCAGGGAAGCCTGGCATGCTGCAGTCCATGGGTCACAAACAGTCAGATACAACTGAGTGACTGAACAACAGCAACATGGACTGTAGCCCGCCAGACTCCTCTGTCCATGGGGTTCTCCAGGCAAGAACACTGGAGGCGGTTGCCATGCCCTCCTCCAGGGGATCTTCCCGACCCAGGGATCGAATCTGAGTCTCTTACATTTCCTGCATTGCCAGGTGTGTTCTTTACCACTAGCGCCACTTGGGAAGCCCCAATATACAGCAGATACATCCCAAATTTTACAGAGCTACTGATAGGAAAGCAGTGAGTCTGCTGGTAACGTTCCAAGGTTACCAACCTTCTTAAGCTTCAGTCTCTGTAACTTAAAAAATGAGCCTAATAGTATCAATTTCATAAAATGTCTATGAACATGAAGAGTGCCAAGTGCACAGTGACCACTTAACTATTACATGTTTTATTTTGAACCATGGTTTCCTCATGTGTTAAAGGGATCAATAAAATCTAACTCAAAGAGTTGTGTGAATTAAATGAGCATACATAAATCAATCTGTTGGCATAAATGCTTGCCATAGAGTAGGTCTTCAATAAACCATAACTCCTTTCTTTGCTACCTTGCCTGTAAATATCTATTTTAAGATCCATTAGAAATTTAAAATAAAAAGTATTAGAAGGTTACTGGTTGTTGAAAGAATAAAAATCACAGCATTCTAATAAATTTCTATGACTGTATCTGGCACCAACACAACTTTTCTATGAAAGCTGAAAATCAGCATTTATTAATACATAAACTATGTTCTAGAAGAAATGCAAATAAGCCTTTTCAATTAGAATCCATCCACATTTTTACCTTTTCTTCTAGTTCATCCTTCAAACACTGGTACTTTAGCTTTAGTTTTTTGTTCTCATTTTCATTCTGGGTTAATTCCTCTGTCAGTCTGTCATACTGTGATTTCAGCTTCTCCAGCTGACAACGGTGGACTTTAGCCATATTCTTATCTTCTAAGCTTTCTGCCTGAGGAACAAAAAAAGGAGAAAAGAGAAAGTCCACTGGCCACAGCCAAACTGTACAGAAGACAAATTCCACATTATATCAGGGGGCAAATACTTGGAGATTTTGCTGCTTCTAAGCATTCCCACACAGACAGACATGCAAAGGAAACATTCTTTCCATGTGTTCAAGCTCTGCTTAGCACTAACTGAGCAACCAAGTAACTGCAAGGTACTGTACTGGGCGCTGAAGATAACAGGCATGAACCATAAAAGACACAGATGCAACAGTCAAGTTTGACAACGATGAATAAGAAGCTCTTAATAAAGGTGTAAGCACGGGTCTGTGCAACCCAAAGGGCCACCACCTGCAGAGAGATGTCCCCACAAGGACACTGTGGGATGTCACTGCCTGATCAGTGTCCTTTTCCACAAGAGGAGCTTCACAATATTCCCTTTCAAGCTACCTCCTCTTTTTTTGTGAAAGAATTGTGTACTTTTTTGTGCGATGTAATTATGAATACCATTCCTGTGGGGTTAAAAAGATTATGAATTGCAGCAGCAAGAAAACTATAAACAGCTAAGTATGTAAAAGGGGTTTACCAGGGATTATTTCAGTACCAATAATGTAATAATGTGCCTGGTTTTTGTTTATTATTTGAAATATAACCAGAATCAGCTTTAAAAAAAATTAGGAATAATGTGCAGAGGGGATTCAATAAAGATTTGCCAGGTATGTGAACTTAAATACCTTTAAAAGGACAGTGTAAACACTGACTATATGTCAGGCACAGCAAAGAGCACAGGTATAGACAGTCTTGCCCAAAGGCCAGTGGTGAGCTGAGCCAGCTCACAGAGACTCTCAGGGAGCCGCTGTTGTTCATCTCCCAACTGTGTCTGCAGTGATGCTGTTTGATAGCTTGAAACCAGTCAAATGGAGGCTCTTAGATCACTGAATTTGGCAAATTCTACAGATCAGGGTTCCCCTCTGCCCCCGGAGAACTTGTTTTAGAACACTAATGCCTAGGCTTGACGAAGAACTTACTTCTTTTGGTGGTCTCATTATTATGTTTACATTTCATTTTAGGGTTTACACAGTGATATCACTCACAAAAACCCTGTGAGAGAGAAAGACGTGACTGTTCCCGTTCTACTGATGAAGTACAAAGAGGTTAAGTAACCTGACAAAGATCATATGGCCAGCAAATGGCAAAAATACACAACTCTACTCTTGGTCTTCTGATCCCAGTAAGGCTCTACAAAATCATCTTTGTTGAAATCATCATGAGGTGATAATAGCCTTCAAATAACCTTCAAACAGCCTTCAAATATTAATAGCAGCAAGAGTGTTTCATTAAAATATTTTACATTTAAATTCAAAAAATAGCCATGAGAAGGGTAAGTCTTGATGAGAAAAAAGTATATAATTTGTGCAGAGAAAAAAAATATGGGTAATGTATCAGCACTTACTAGACTCAAAAAAAGTGATAAATTAAGGTGAAACCAAAAGACAAATACAACATTTACAGAGCTACTTATCTATAGCCCTCTAGTACGTAACTCGATATATTAAATCTTTGATGATGGCCACTACTATAAACTACTTTTAATTAATACAAATGAGTCAAAAGTACAGGATTATATTAATAAAACAGCATGAGGTGGGGTTGGCCCTCATGGGTGATTTCGGTTTAAGAGAACAGTACTGAGATCTCACAATCCCTGGTCTCCTTTTAAGCACATATGCTGCTGCTTTTCTACCACATTAAAGAGTGACTACAAAATCCCTCATCTCAGTCTTCCAAATTAAAACAAACTAAAAAAGAAAAAAAAAAATCTAAGCAGCTAATACCTGCTGCCTGTCCCTCTGGAGAGGTATGAATATACCCAAAACACACCAAAATATAAGGCAACCTAAACACGAAGTACTAGTGGTACCCACAGACAGCTACGGAAACAGAGGAGCAAGAGATTTATCTCAACCTCAGTTGAGACACAGCCATCTTCAGTAAATCTGTGACTTCACTTTCACTTTTCAGTGAATCTGTAAGAGACGTAAAAAATTAACTGAGCCTTGAAAGGTTAGGCAGCCCTTTTCCTCGGGCAGACTGGGGGAAAAGACAATCCGAATGAAGAGCAGGCAATGAGAAGTTGGAGCAGGAAATGGTTTTCCCTTTGTATGAGGCCCGCTGGGGAACAGAAAAAGGCTCCAAGTGTGAACAGCTCAGGTGGGACCACATAAGGGAGGACTAGACTAGATCTGAGACTTTGTTCCAGAGATAGTAATGGGTTTTGAAGGTTTCTGAGCAGAAAGTGATATACTCGGATCAGCGATCTAAAGAGGCAACACAGGTGGTATCTGAAGGCTGAAAGGGAGGAGTTGGGGGTAGAAAGAGAGACTAAGGGGGAAGTAGGGAGGCTCCTCAGAGCTGTGTCTCATGCCTCCACAGTCCAAATAGCAGCTTGAAATCCATTTGCTACTATGACGCATGCTATACTGTTCATATGCCAAGGCGTCCAGGGGCAAATGCAGTTTCTGTCAAGCAGGCTGTACCTCCTGACTTCACCTCCCTCTCAAGAAACTATATTATCAATACAACGTGAGAATGATGTTTTTACACAGATGATCTTGAATCTGCAAGAACTGATTAAATTATTACCAGCTCCTACTGGAATGCACGTTTATCACACAACTATATAGTGATGATAAGAACATAAAATACGTCAGTCATAGCAAGAAGAAAAAGAGGGTGCAGTTTCAACATTCCCAGGAAAACTGAAAGTTCCTTGAAAGAACCATTTCTCAATTCATGACCTAACAAATCATGATATATGCATCCTCGGGAAAAACGCCACCTTCCTTTGAGATTCACACTATTTCAACTCTGCCTTCCTTGTTAGCAGTAGCCAACCAACCAGTCATCCTCTTCACTGACGTTTTTGGCATATGACCCATTAACACCTTTGCAACAGCATCATAAACATGGAAATATCTACCCAACAAACTAACATCAAATTTATTTGATCTGTTCTCTTCCAACCACTTTCACCCATATTCCACAATGGCAACCCACTGCATTACCACTCGCCTGGACCTCAACTCTGAAAATCGAAGCTCCAGTCGAGGAACTCCTACCAAACAAGCAGCCTGCAGTCTTCGATTCCTTTCCCTCCACTCTCTCGCTCCTTTGTCCCTGACACTTCAGTGGTAGCCACGTGGCAGCACATCACCTGCTCCCAGACTGGCCTCGTGCGGTTGGTACCAGCCTTCACCACCATGAACAACTCACTGCACAGCTGCTCTACGCGAGATTCACATCACCAATCCAAGTCCATCCCTATCGACCTTCCAAGCTTACTGAGCTCTTTCAGAACCTTCAGAGGAAGATATGCCCTGTCTCCTGCTGAAATCTATCCACTCTGTTATTGGTCCAGCCCCTCACATCTCCCCACAGGCCTTCTCCCCCCATCTGTGACAAATGAAATGAACACATTATTTAGTTCATCTTTTAGCCTGTCTGCCACACTGACACTCACGACTATACTCTTCTAAAATGTCCTGCTTAGGTTTACAAGATACCGTTCTATTCTGGTTTTCCTGTGTCACATGTGCTTCTTTGTTCTGTATTTCCTAGGAACTCTTTCACAGTTTACTCGACTCTTCCCTTAAACAGTGGTGTTCTAGAATTTCATCCTCTTCTTTCTCCTTGCATAATGTCATCCAAACCCTGTGATTTCAACTACCAACAATGGATTACTGACTCCCAAATATTTAACTTGAATCTCAACTTACTCCTCAACTTCTAACCCATTACGTACTAAACTGTTCCACCTAGACTTTCATGATTGGGTTTAAGGTCTCTTCCCCCTAACTCAACATGTTAAGAAGCTGGATTTGACATTACCACTCTCTCCAAATATGCTGCTCTGTCTATATTATCCATCTTGACAAACAGCTTCATTATCTATCTAGTCACCCAAAACCAAACCTAGCCAGTCTAGAGTCTAAACCTTTTCCAGTACAGCAAAGTAGTTAAGAACTCAAGTATCTGACTACCTTAGTTCAAGCCCTATCTCTATTACTCTCCACTGTAAGACCTTGGAAAAGTTACTTCTCACATCTGAATTTCTTCATTGGAGAGGAATTAATATCACACAATCTACAGAGATGATGTATGAATTGAGTAACACACATAAAGTTCTTACAGTAATAAAACCAGCACAACCTAAGTGCTGAAAAAATGTCTGCTAGTATTATTATTGTCACAACCAACCAATCAATATATGATGATATGTATTTTATTTTTTATATATGTATTCATATATATATGTGTATTCTCTTCTCTATATCTCTGATTCTACTTTTGCTTATGGACTCACCAACACTGAAAGATTATTATGCCATACTTCACCAAAATCAAAAGATACAATTTTTTCACATTTTACCTTCTCTGTCTTGGGATGTTATCTTACAATTGATAGCATGTCATGTTTTCATAGGCATAATTTTTTTTCCTAAGCATAGAGCAATGATCCACCTTACAAATGATAGTGTCTTAGGTTACATGAAATAGAATGCAGGCCTCTTATCTATTTCTTCCAGCTTCCATTCTGCTCTGCCCACCCCAACTTAAATAACCCCAATTCACTACTGCCAGTAGACTAAATAGGACCAAAGAAGAATTAATAAATTAGCTGAAAATATTCTACAAGTGCAGCTTAATTATAGTTAATAATTTCATCTCTTTCATAAGCATTTTTATGATAGTTGCATTTCAAGGAATTTTGAGAAAAAATATAATTAATCTGTACAGATTTATGCATGTATTCACCTATTCAACAGATATTTTTAATGTTCCAGGAACTGGGCACTAGGGATATAGTTGTAAACAAGAGTCAAATCCCAATCCTCATGGAGTTTTCATACTAATAAAAGGAGATTAAAAAATAAATAGTATGAAATCTGTATCATATGATAATGCATGCTCTAGAGAAAAACTAAAGCAGGAAGTGGGGATAGATTTATCACACTCCTGACAATCATGTTATGAGATGATTCCCCTGCGTGTGATAAATACTAGTATAATGATATATACATCTTAGACATACTTCCTCAAATCCAAGATCTCAATTATGCATGTACCCAGGCAATTCTGACTTGGAAAAGAAGGGGTAAATCTCAAAAAGCCCTGGGTTTACAAAACTCATAGGCCAATCCTCTTTAGTTACCATACTAATGGGGCCATGGTTATAGCTTCTATGGCCTTGACAAGTCTTTGCCTTTTATATTTTAGAAGATCATAATGTTGAATGAGGGCACGTTTCAGGTCCATGACTTACTGCCACCTCTGTCTGCCTTTCCTGAACTCCCCGAATAGCTAAATGTTCTTTTTAAAGGGTTTCAGTCCTCTGCAATAGGTGCTCCCAGGTGGCCGCTATAACTCATTCCAACCTGGCCGAACAGGCACGAATACGCCTCTTTATTGTTAGTTTTATCTCCCCTTCAGTGCTTGGGAATACAGAACGATCTCTAAAAGTTTACGCTTTATTAACTTCATGAGCCACCAGAAAATTTCCTCCAGTATCATCAGGATAACTCAGCGCAGGTACCTTCAGGGTCTTAATATGATTCTCAGCCTCACTCTTTTCCTTCTTGAAGTGCTTCATCAGCTCCTGGATATTTTGTTCGTGTTTCGTTTTCACACTCTGCAAAGATGATGTGAGATCTTCCAGCTCCCTCTGGTGAATGTTTCTTTCGAGCTTTAACTGAGTAATGATTGTAGCTGTTTCCTCATCTTTAGATTTTGCTTGTGTCCTGAGGTCAGAAAGGTTCTTGAGGACCTCTTTCCTGGCTCTTTGTTCCTCCGCCAATTTATTTGCGAGGTCTGCCCGGATGGCACTCAAGTCCTTGATGGACTCTTGCATCTCAAGAAGTTGAGCTTTGTCCTTGGCCTGGCTCTCCTTCAGCTCTGCAATCTGTTCCTCCAGGTGAGCTTTCTCAGCTTTCAACTGGCTTTGAATCTTATTCTGTTTTTTCAATTCACTTTCTAGCCTATGGATGGTATCCAGGGAATCCTTGACTTCCAGTTCAAGATCAGCTTGATGAGACTTAACATCACTTAGCTTCTGCTCCTTACAATGAAGCTCCTCTTCTTGAAGGGCACGCTTGGTCAGCACATCGTTTAATTCCTTTCGAAGACTCTCTATTTGTTGCAGCGCTGCATAAAGCTGGCCTTTCAGTTCATCCTTTTCTTTTAAAATCTATCAGATTAGAAACAGAAAGCAAAAATTACTGTAAAATTCACCATATACACTGCCAGAAAACAAAATAAAGTTTAAGCCACACGGAGAAGAAAATTTCATAAAAAAATACTTTGTATTTTTTCTGGTTTTAAATAAAAAATACTTTTTTAGGCTAGAAAAATACAATTGCTCTTAAGTAGTACCACACTGAGATATATGTTTCAGGTTTTCATCACCAAAATGCATCCATCCATGATCATAAATAATTACTTAGAGCTAAGATAAAATTGAGCAGAAGAACGGGAGAAAAAGACTCCAGTTATTATTTACCAGAGGTTAAAATAATACAATGTTACTTAAAATAACAATGATTTGCATTTCAATGGCACACACTTTAAAAGGAGAAACCTCAAAACAGATAGGGAAGATAACGTGAAGAAGAACGTAGATATAGAAAGGTTTTGATACGATCAGTCACTGTTAATCAAATAATGTGATTTGATTAGTGCCAAGAAACACACAGTGACAAGAAACACACCAGTATGTAATGCGGAGGTCTTTAAGTTCAATAAAGGTAGAAATAAGGTTAATTTAAGAGTTGGAAAGGTTGGGAAGGGACTCATGAGAAAAGTCAAAGGACCAAAAGGCCACCACCCTCTGCCAGCCTCTTTGGGGGTTAGGGCTATTGCTCAGGGACAAAGGCCAAGAACTAACCCTTTAATCCTCACCGTCCATCAGTGCAAATGAAAAAGCCATCAGCTAAGGAAGCTGAAACTGTCCCCTCTCCCCCAACACTGACACCAATAGCATCTCTGTACCTGTTTGCTGATGCCTACCATAGTTTGAACCTGGCGGTGGGGGGGGCGGGGAATTAAGATTCTCATTTTAGAATTAGAAATGAGTTAAAATGCAAATACTTTAAGACATTTTTATACTTTATATTTTGCACCTCAATGTGAAACAATTCATGATAAAATGAGTCCATCACTTCAAAAAAAAATGGTCTCCTCAAATTTCTAACAGGGAGAAACAGCATGAAGCTAACATGAGAAATAATAAAAGGGAGTGATTAAGCAGCTGAGCTCTGACCAGGAGAACTGGATTCTCAGCCCAGGCATAAGTAGTTCTATGGCCTTAAAGAAATGCTTATCGTTATAAAGATAATAAAAGCTACATCATAGGGTTGTGATAAAGACAACTGGGAAGGGGGAAGTAAAGAGAGGGGGTGGGATTTAAGTGTAAGGAGAAACCAGGAGTCTCGGGGGGCGGAGGGGTACTTATGCAAGATAGTGATCAAAACTGTGAAGAGAGGGGTTCACTGATAAAGTACTGTTCCGGATTGAAAAGTCTCTAGAACACAGAGGAAAGAGTTCACTTCACAGAGAATTTAAGGCAGGAAAAATGGCTAGAAATAATCATAAGACTAAGGGCAGATGTTGGAGAAGGAAATGGCAACCCACTCCAGTATTCTTGCCTGAGAAATCCCATGGACAGAGGAGCCTGGTAGGCTATAGTCCATGGGGTTGAAAAAGAGTTGGACATGACTGAGTGACTAAACAAGGGCAGATGTATTCTTTTTCTATTGCAGTGTAGCAAATTCCAACAAATTTCGTGGCTTGAAACAACAACACCCATCTATTATCTCACTGTTTCCATAGGTTGTCAATCCTGGCAAGCAATTCTGCCTTCCATCTCCTGATGCTAAAATCAAGATGTCAGCTAACCTGGGCTCTTATCTGGAGGCTCTGAGGGAGAATCTACTTCCAAGCTCATTCATGGTGCTGGCAAAATTTAGTTCTGTGCACCTAGGACATGGATCCCTGTTACCTTTGCTAGCTTTAGGCCAGATGTTTTTCTGAGCTTCTAAAAGCCATCGCAGCATTGTTTATAATAGCCAGGACATGGAAGCAACCTAGATGCCCATCAGCAGACGAATGGATAAGGAAGCTGTGGTACACATACACTATGGAATATTACTCAGCCATTAAAAAGAATTCATTTGAATCAGTTCTAATGAGATGGATGAAACTGGAGCCCATTATACAGAGTGAAGTAAGCCAGAAAGATAAAGACCAATACAGTATACTAACACATATATATGGAATTTAGAAAGATGATAATGATAACCCTATATGCAATACAGAAAAAGAGACGCAGATGTACAGAACAGACTTTTGGACTCTGTGGGAGAAGGCGAGGGTGGGACGTTTAGAGAGAACAGCATCGAAACATGTATATTATCAAGTGTGAAACAGATCACCAGCCCAGGTTGGATGCATGAGACAAGTGCTCGGGGCTGGTGCACTGGGAAGACCCAGAGGGATCGGGTGGAGAGGGAGGTGGGAGAGGGGATCGGGATGGGGAATACATGTAAATCCATGGCTGATTCATGTCAATGTATGGCAAAAACCACTACAATACCATAAAGTTATTAGCCTCCAACTAATAAAAATAAATGGAAAAAAAAATAAAATTAAAGCCACTCGCACTCCTTGGATTATGGACTCCTCTGTCTCCGCAGCCAGTAACATTCCACACCAAATCCTTCTCAAGTTTTGAATCCCTCTGACTTCCCCTTCTCCCAACAATCAGAAAGATTTATCTGCTTTTAAGGGCTCCTGTGATTAGACTAGGCCCATTCAGACAATCTCCTCATCTTAAAATCAACATTGTACCATATAACATCATCATGGCATTGAAATTTCATCCATATTCTCAGCTTCTGGAAACTAGGCTGAGGTATCTTTGGGAGGTCACTCTATGCACCACATTAAAGAAGACAAAACTGACAGAATCCAGTCTTGGCTGTAAGGATAACATAAGGAGGGACCCGAGAATAAGGGAAGGTAGCTTAAACATAGTGATTAACCTTTGGAACAGATAACATAGGCCCCTGGCCTTGAGTTAAGAGACTTCCATGAAGCCCTGAAGATATCAGTAAAAATCATGTATTCAAGATGAAGTTGTAGCAGATAAAATGTCTATGACTGCAAAATACCATATTTATTTTTGTCACACGATGGGAAGAGCAGGATGGGGTGTTTCAAGAAGAGTCCTTCAAAACTCAGATCCTGCCAAGCTACAAGTCTCCGGGTTTTGCCCTCACCTTCAGTGTTCCAAGTGCTACATCAATTCAGGACAGCAATGACAGCCTTAGAGCAGACAGTCCCAGACTATGTTGGTCAAGCTTGGAGTTTCTTTGGCAATATATGCACTAAAAGCTAAGTAACCTCTATTTTCTTTTGGTTAATGCTTGGCTAGCAGCCATAGCCCAAGATGTGTCTAGACATTGACTCTGAGTCTGAAAATGTCAGTGTCTTAACCACCTCCTCAGTATCTGGGAGATTCCTGGGGGCCCTCAGTTGAATGACCTTTATCTTGAGGGAATTCAAAACAATGGACTTGGGTCTCCTTTGGCCAGAAATGCTTGAGTAGATGCGCCTGGGCCTGAGAAATCAGGCTTGTTTTTTTTACCTCATTTAAATTTCTGCTAAATGTCCTACCTCCCTCTCTTACTTGGACTAACTTTAGCATGGATAGACGATTTGGCTTTTCCAACTCTGAAAGACTCCAAATTATCAGACTCAGTAAATATGGGCTAAAGATGGCGATTTTCAGTCTCCCAATGCCCCAAGATCTTTCTCTCTGCTTTCAGACAGGCCAGTTTCAACCTGTGGTTATCGTTCTCTTCTGAGAGTTTTCTAACGGCTCCAATAACCACACAGCAGACTCCAACATCTAAAGTTTTCCTGAAGTGAAGTGAAAGCTCCTCAGTCATATCTGACTCTTTGCAACCCCATGGACTATGCAGTCCAAGGAATTCTCCAGGCCAGAATACTGGAGTGGGTAGCCTTTACCTTCTCCAGGGGATCTTCCCAACCCAAGGATCGAACCTAGGTCCCCCACATTGCAGGCAGATTCTTTACCAGCTGAGCAACAAGGGAAGCCCAAAGTCACTTGCCTACTGGTCACGTAATACCATCCCCTGAAGCACATCATCAAGACCCAAAGGCATGACTTCTAACGGCTCAGTTACGGCCAATAGCATGGTGCGGTTTTCCAGCGTTCCCTTGAGAAAAGTCTGATAATCCCAGTTCTCATCCTACTTCTCCACTTAAGTCAATCATTTTAGGTTTGTTGACTTACAGCTCCTTACTCCTAGAATTGATGTTTCATATTAGCTTGAAAGTTTTTCTGCTGCAAGTAAGAGAAAACTCCAATTCAAGCGAGCTTAAACTACAAGGTGATTTACCACCATTCCAAGCAGAACTGCTCCAGACACAGCAGGTCAGAGCTCTAGGTCCACTGCTCTGAATCACGTTCAGCAATACCTTCCCTCCTAATGAGGTTGCATTCTCAGGATCATCGCCTGATCTCAGCCTCAGCCATTTCTGGCATCACAGTCAAACACAATAATGTTCAAAGAAGGAAGACAACTCCCTCCTAGTGTATCTTTTTTAGGAATGAGTAAAATTTATCAGAAGCTCCCCAACAGTCTTCATAGTTCATCCTTCAGATGAAGAATAGTTCTTGATCAGAAGAGGGCTAGATGCCTAGCAATTGGTCTACATTAATTTTTGTAATGCGATGGAATGAATTGGGCTGGGATCGGGGAGGAAACCAAGATCACTACAGGAGCCAATATACATGATATTCTATGTAAGTTTTGCTGGCACCACTCAAGAACAGCAACAGAATAGGTAGAGAGTTAGGTAGATCCCAGATTGAAGATCAACAAAATGTGTGGGGTAGAAGTTAAGAAACTGAAGATGCCAGTGAACATGCCACCAGATTAGCTTTTCGTGAAGTCCAGTCTGAGAGGGAAAAAAACTGATTCCAAGAAACAGCTGGTCAACCAATGAAACGTGGGAAGATGAAAATCTGATGGTAATACTTAAAAGAGGAAAAAGGAATAAAAGTAATGTGGATAATCAGAGACTGAAATTTTAGAACTATAAGATCTGAACACAAATTATAGATGATGACAAAGTTTAGCCATAGAAATTAGCTGCAGAGTGATTGGAAGGTCACTATACAACAGGAAGCTAGTGAAATATAAAAACACAGAGTCCAATGGGCTGCTGACTTAAACTTGGAGATCACCAAAGATAATAGCAAAATCACATGTAATGAAACAGGTCGAAGGGAAGCCAGGTGTGAAAATTCTTGAGAAAAGTGGAGGCTTAATGGAGACATAAGTAGCAGTCAGGAAAAATGGGAAGGGAATGTTCTAACCGAGCACTGTTTCCATTGAAGAAGAGCTATAGCGGAAGATAATGAAAGAAGGAATGAAAATGGCTGGTGTGACCCCAAAGGAATGACACTGCTTAAAACCATGGTGATTTATTGGAACAATAATCAACTCCTCAAAGGCCTGACTATCAAGTATGTACAGTTTTTTTCTTTTTTTTAGGGAACCAAAAGGTAGACAAGAAAAATTTTTAAAGAAAACAAAAGTTAATTTTCTGCACAGAAGGAAACATGCAGAGACTGCTGGGTTATACTAACATATCAGTACTCTAGCCTTTCTTAAATTGCTTATGACAGGACTGCATAAACATTTTAAAAGTGTGCACTTTAGCACTGATCCTCCTTACTTTTCAACCATTAAGAAATTCACATTTGAAAAGATAGATATATTACATACAGCTCTTTTATTTCCCTCAGCATGAAAGCAATACACAGAAGGAAAAGATGGCAATTTAAGATTCTCGAAGTCAAATATTATCAAGGAAAAAGCTCAATACATGGGCAAGTCAATTATCCTGCCAATTCAATAAGAGAAAACAAGACAAAACAAAACCTAAGAATCATTCCCATTATCCGTGTTAAGAAGAAGAAAAAAAAAAAAAACATGAATTTGGAAACATTCAGAAAAGCATACATGATGATCAAAACCCAAACTGAAATATTTTTTCTTATTATTTTTAAAGCACATATAAAAAAACCAATGACTTCAAAAGCACTTTAAAAGAAAAAAAGGCAAAAATATCACAATTCTTGATGATTATTTATATCAGTAGAATGCTGGGTCTTCAATCGAATGTTATATATATCGATAGAATGTTAGGCCATCTATATATCTCCGAAGAATATAATGATTCCCTGATGTAAACATTCATGTCAGTGTCTTTTAAGGAATGTATACATACTGACCCGTCTGGATTTTTTCTGCAATGATATGCTATTTGTTTGCTATGTCATATTCTTCAATAATGAAGCCGTTTTGTAATATGATATACATCTGACATCTTACCAAGATTCCATAATGCAATGTAAAAAGCGGGGTGCGGGGGCGGGGGCGGACAAGAGCAATAGTTAAGAGAATAAAAGCTTTGGGCTTTCTAGTGAATTTTTAAGTGGCACATCTTAAAGCAGAAAATAAGTGAACCTGGAAAAAGATAGATGGAAGTAGGCAAGGAACTATTTTGAAAGTGCAAAGACTGCATCTGTTGAGCACATGAAAGGGCTCAATAAAGTTACTTATTAAACAATTAATTCATTCTCTAAACTATAACATACTGTATTTGTAAACCAGTATCATTTTTACTTTAACATACACTTCCAAATATATCCTGGAGTCACTTTTGGAAAGCAATTAGTCCTAAAAAAAAACAAAAAATGAGTAGACTGTCTTACTACGCCCTAAGGTGGTTTTCTGTTTTATTCAAAATTAAATATTCTTCAGAGGCATTATTCAGTAAGGTATTAAAGATATACTTTTTCCAAAGTTATTTACAATGTATTTCCGTATCACAGACTTACTGGACACTTGAATTTGCAGTAAAATATCTGTTACCCTTCTTTGATTAACCATTGCTCTAACTGTGACATGCTGCATTAATTTTTAAGGCTTTTAAAGTGGAAATTACAATGCCTGCTGTGATAATTGTAATACTACCCTAACTGTGGCAATCACTTTAAAACTACTTCTCTGCTTATCATTAGCAATGCTAAGTGATAAAAATAACTTTAGCAGGAGTATTCTGGGAAGTGATTGTTTAATAATTTTTAATATTCTAAAAAGCTCAATTGAGAAAACTCTCCTGGATTAGGATACTGTCTGATGACATGGACCCTTCTAAATTTCCTCTCATTAAGCAAAATCCCCAGATGGCTCTCAATCAATCAATTTCCCCAACCCCTCTTTTCTCTCATTGAACCAATTGCCAAACCAGGCTGACAACAGAATAATCAAAGTAGACCAATTTCCTGGGATCAAATCAATTCACATTCAAGTCTGAAAGCTTCAGAAGGGCTTTACCTTGAGGCAATGAGTCACCTATTAAGTGTCAGGTGGGTTAAAGTGAAAAGCATTCCAAGGTCAGTGCAAAGTGATCACTTCCTCCATCTTTTATATATCTAAGAAATTCGTATGTAAAAATGAAAGCATCATGTCCATGACAGCTCATCTGTCATGAAATAAGCATCTATCATTCTTAAGTGCTGACAATTGATTTTATAGGTGTAATTGCCCTACATTTTGCTTTCTTTTGAAAGAAAGTCAACTTATCCAAATGATTCTTCTTCTGAAACAATCAGAGTTCTTGACAAGTGACAAATGACAATGCAGAAGTGATAAACCAAGACTAAACATGGATAAAAATCAATCATGACTTTCCTGCTTATTATCTTATAAACATCTGGGTCTAATTCAATGCAAAGATACAGTTGAGAATCAACACAGGAGCATAAAATCCATTTAAAATAACTGATTATACAAGAGAAAAGATGACGTTAAATGCATACACAGATCAATGAAATGCTTTCTGTTGCTATCAAAGGAGCACAAAAGTCTTCAAGAGGCTTGAGATCTGACAATACTGCTCAGTGAGATTATCAATGTTACTCACTTAACTAAAATTACAGCTGCTGCCAGAAAATGGTCCAGTAGTAATGACTGCATCTTAAATGCTGCTTTCCAACCAATACTGAAGTTGAGATATACAAATAAATGAGATTTTAAAATACATTCACTGGAGGAAAAGACATGTGATATTAAGGAAGATTTCATGATTTTCTTCCATTTGGATATTAAAGAATAATTTCAAATTAGGGCATAGCAATCCACTCCCATGGACAGAGGAGCCTGGCAGGCTAGAGTCCATGGGTTCACAAAGAAGCAGACATGACTGAGCAACTTAGCACGGGGAGTACTAGGGAACTAAAAGCTAAAATAGAGGAGGAGAATGGATCTGCCTTAAGAATTAACTCTGCAAAGCCACAGAATGGTAAACTACTACAAAGGCTGTACAAAGATTCTATCTGTGTGCCTTGAGACAGTCAAGACATAGAGACTCTTCTGTCAAGAAGCTCTTGATAGATCACACACAGCACAGAAACGCAAGAGTGTGTTCAGAGGACAGAGGAGTGAATGGTTGGTCACAGCAGGAATCACTCCTCAGGAATGTGGCTTTTGTACCTGATTATTCTTGTCTGACAGTTGATGGAGACTTTCAGATTGCTTCTCCAGCGCACGTTCTATCTTCTTATGCTTAAGCTTCCACTGCCTAATGGACTCCTGGGCTTTCAGCTTCAGCTCCTCTCTCCTCTTCTCTGCCTCCTGTCTCAGGCCCTCAGACTGCTGGAGCTCCAGAAGGTACTGCTCGGCCTGCTTGGTGGCCTCCTCGGCGTGCTGAGTCAGCTTCGTGAGCTGCAGGTCAGCTCGCTTGCGTTTGGCGTCACACGTCTCAAAGTGCTTCTGGATCTCCTTCAGTTCATCCAACATCTCCAACTGCTGTTTTTCCCTGTTCTCCAATTCATGGCTTAAATTCTAGGAATAAAGCATGTGAAGGATCAGGAACATGTTCTTGTTAACATTGGATGTGTAATATATCATCAAACAGGAATCACTAATGTCATCAAATTAGCAATCCATCTAGAAAATATGATCCTTTTCCATGTATCTCATGATCATATTAATTGAGAATAATTTGTTATAAAAAATATTTTCATTTTTAGACTACTTCATTATTAACAAGGGAAAATATGTTTTTTTCCCAATTGACTGTCACTAAAACAGAAAGCCTTGTTGATGAGAAAAACATGTATTACTTTCGTAAGAATCTAGTGTCTTGTATAATGAAAGAAATGTCAATGCTTTTGAATTTGTCAGATTGTCAGAGCAATTATATGCCATCATACATAATGCTTCACTTTCTGACAGCAAATAAAATTTTGTGAAAATAAAATAAAAATCTGTAACAAAAAAAAAAGAACATTGATGACAGAAGCACCAGTATAGACAATACTGTAATGTGAAAGTCCATTTAAATGTGACAAATTACTTATAGACAGGTTATTTGACTGGAAATACATAATGCTATAAGTTGATAAACTATGTCAAGCTTATACAAATCAATGAAGGATAGATTTTCAATTTATAAACTTAAATTTACATGGAATACTTACCTATTCAAGAAAAGAACTCAAACTCTTAAAATCTACTTTCTCTAAACCAGCAGTAAGCAGTGGTTTAGCCACTAAATCAGGTCCAACTCTTGCGACCCTACGGACTCTAGCCCGCCAGGCTCCTCAGTCCATGAGATTTCCCCGGCAAGAACACTGGAGCGGGGTGCCATTTCCTTCTCCAGGGGATCTTCCCGACCCAGGAGGGAACCAGTTTCTCCGGCCCTGGCAGACAGATTCTTCACCAATTGAGCCACCAGGGATGCCCCCTCCCCAAACCAGAGTTGGTCAATAACACACTTGGAACTTACACTAAATCATCATAATTCAAATGTATTTTTAATTTGAGAAGAGTGAGCAAATACTGATTTTTAACTTCAAAAATCAGAGTACATTATATAACATTTTATACACTTAAAAGAATGTTATCATTGTTGACAGTTAAGCCACTCTTGTAAAGCTCTGGAAGTCAGTGAGAAATTCAGAAACAAGTGCCTACAATGTAAGCTGCTCCTTCTGAGCCTTTAGTTTCAAATACTTGTGGTTATAAAAGTAACACGAAAAGGTCATATGTTCAAGTAAGATTGGGTTCAGGAAGCTAAAATGACTGTGAGCTGCACAAACAATAAAATATACATTGTACTGAAGCACCTATAAACAGACTGGAAACATTTGAAAACCTCCTCTAACAGCAGATTATCAGTTCCAGATTCAGCATCCCTCAACTGTGGCTCAAATCAAGTTAAATATAATTTCTCTCATGATTAAAGTCATGATTTGACATTATGGCAGCAACATATAAATAATGCCTCTAAAACAAGAGGTTTGCATTTGCTCAGTTTGCTAAATCCAACGCAGCTTGGAAGAGATGAGTCACTCCTTTATCCACCCAAACAAAACAGTAAATTGAGAACTGTGCACTTGTTTGTGAGGAAAATTCTAAAATGAGACCAGAAAACCCTAGTGATGGTGGTTTACCCTTTTGCCCTTATCTAAAAGTTTTACCATTAGGCCAGAAATGGTAAAACTGGCCATTCAAGTGGTTTCTACAGTATTCAAGTGGTTTCAAGTGGTTTCTACATCAACAGAGAGATCCCATTTTTCCTCCCACAACAAAAACTTGGGAGAGTGGTTATGCTTCTGATGTGTTAGGCACATAGTTTATAAAAAGGTTAATAAGATCTGGCTTCAACACCAAAGAAGATGATAATCTAACTGGGGAGATATTCACACCAACAACTAAATTACAACAGTGGATAGTACAAGGCGCTAAAATATGACAGACAGTTATTTGAACTAGTCTATATTTTACAGTGCGCCTGGGGAGAGTCTCTCTTAGGCGGTGACATAAAAGTTGAGATCTATACCAGTCCAAGTTCGATGCATGAAACAGGGCACTCAAAGCCAGAGCACTGGGACGACCCTGAGGGAGGGGATGGGGAGGGAGGGAGGAGGGGGATTCAGGATGGGGGACACATGTACATCCATGGCTGATTCATGTCAATGTATGGCAAAAACCACCACAATACCGTACAGTTATTAGCCTCCAATTAAAATAAATTAATTTTTAAAAAAGAGTTGTGATCTAAATGAGACAGAGCCAGCAATAATGATAACAACAACTACAACTAAGGTTTATTGAGCAGTTAAGTTGTACAAGGGATAGTACAAATGCTTTATATGAGTTACTTCACTCAATCCCACCACAAAACTAAAGGCACTCATTATCTTTATTTGAGTGACAGTCAACCACCACTTGGAACTTGCCCAAGATCACATACCTAACAAGTGAGGGCACAGCATTCAGACTCAGACAGTCTGAGTTCAGAGCCCATGTTTTCAACTCTTTACTAAGCTTTCAGACTTCCAGATGGATCCTAACTCCATGTGTCTACAGTCACTCACTCCTATAGACCTATCCTAGTGTTGTTGTTGTTTTCAGAACCGTCACCTTTGAAGTAAGAGTATACCCAACCCCCTTTCCCCCCATTATCTCCTCCTCTGGCTTTGTCTATCCATCTGCCCAGCTCCCTTTTCTCCTAATACATCTGCTCTTCATTGCCAAGAGGAGATGATATTCCTTTTACTGACTTGAGATCCAGGCTCTTTAACCTAAATAAGTAATATTTCACTTTAGCCACTCTCCTGCTTACATCTCAAACTCCTCTTAGACCTATTCGACTACTGAACTTGAATAGTAAAACATCTCTGTAGGACCTAAAAAAATCTCCTATTTCCCATATCAGGTTACCGAGTCCTCCAAGGAGAATCACAAATGAATGTCAAGGGATGTAAAGAGACGCTGAAAGCCACCCTCAGTGCCCAGAGATTCTTCAGCATGCCCCTACCTGGTCCGGTGTGCGCTCTCTGAACCCACCAGCTTTTTCACTCACTGTAGCATACATAATAATCTAGCTCTCCCCCTGAAAAATAACACTGAGGCTATTAGGCAAGACACCCCCCCCCCCCCCCCAGATTTCCTACATGTACCATCCTGAATCTTCCCAGCAGTTAAGGGAAAGGGACCTCTCTTCTTTAAACAAATCAGCCTACCTTGGTTCCTTCCTTCCACATCCATCAAGGACTTCACTACACTAGTCAGGCCTTCTCTTTTCTTACTATATCATTCTACTCTACTATTCTCATCTTTAAAAAAAAAAACTAATTTTTTAAGTGAAACAAACAAAAAACCTTTATCAATCTGACATGATCTTCTCATTAGCATCATGTCCTCTTCCTGTTAAAATATCCTGCAAAGAGCAGTCCACACTTGATGCCCCACAGTCTCATTTCCAATCCACTTCTCAGTTCACTGGCTCTGGTTTCCAGCCTGACCACCCAATTAAAATAACTCTCATCAAGATCCCCAAAGATAACCTAAAGCCAGATACAGTGGGCTCTATAAATCCTTCCCACCATCCTTGCTGCATGTGACACTGACAATCACTTCTTAATCCTACCTCTCTTCCTCCTTTATTTTCATAATACACTCCTCACTAGTTCTCCTTTTTCCTTCATAATCTCCTTTCCTGGGCCTCTTCAACTATTTGGCCTTTAAATAGAGATAACTGTACAGGTTTCTAGTATTAAGCATCATTCCATCTATAAAATGTCTTTGGTGGTAAATAAGTATGTAGGTAAACAGAGATCTAAGTGATTCCTAATTCAGAACCAGACTGATCTTAACTCCAGATTTTTAAATATCTACTTGTATAATGAGTCTCTACACTTGATAATCCTATAGGCATCTTAATTTTGGCACATCAAAAAAGTAAATTCACTGGATGCCCAACTCCTAACAAAAAGACAGTCCTATTAAAATAACAGTAAATCTCCACTGAGGGAGGGTAAAAATGGAGCTGGACTTGTGTATTTAAGCACAGAGAGTCAGAAATAGCTGCTGTAGGAAAAGAGAAAATGAACAAGAGACAAATGCTTAAAAACTGACAAACAGAAGTAAGGTTACAATTAGATTGTCTCAAATTTGCAAAGGACCCAAGAGTAGATGGAATTCTTCAGATTTCTCCAGAAACTCTTTTGAATCCAAAATTAAAATAAATCCAGCATTATTTATCCTCTGTTAATTACAGAGCAACAAGAATAGGCACAGGATTAATAAATGCAAGCCCAGAGTTTAACAAAATAAATTCCTTTTGTTCTCACATTTTAAAACTGCAGACTTTCATATTAACAGATAACAGACAATAATTCACTTTGAAGAATATGTGAAAACATCGTGGCGCTGACTGGACATGTGAGTGAAAGTGAACAGAAAAGGGGTGGTTCTTAGTATAAATAAGGTGTCCTCACTCTTGATGGGAAGGTAGGTTTCAGTGTGAGCAGGACAAACACAGCCTCCAAATGCCCTGAGCCTGGAAACTGTTGCGACTGCTTTGCTCCTGTCAATCTGACTGCATCATGCTTCAGGTAAAACTTACCAGAGAACTCCTTCCTACGTGCTTTCCTCACTCCTTGGTGGAGTCTACTCAGCCACTTTTTTGACATTCTCTTTAACCCATCTTCCTCAGAAAACCAATCAGAATCATCTAATTATAATAAACATTTCTCCCTCAGCAATCAAAAGATTATTCTATAGAACCCTCAAAACAATTCCTCCAATAAACACCCACACACAGAGCACACATGAAGCGTGCACATCATCAATGCAGGATAAATGCTATCAAGGCAGGCACGTATGGCAGACATTAGCACCCTCCTATGTACCACATGAAACATTAAATGGAAAGCAATTTTATTATGCATTCCATTATGATGATTTTCAATTCCAACAATACCATCATACATTCCTGGACGCATCTTCTATGCTGAAGAACTTTTTTATATTTAAACTGTGTAAAATTATCT